CCTGCCCAGGTCCCCCGACAAGGGGCTGGATGACAACTACTGCCGCAACCCCGACAGCTCCGAGCGGCCCTGGTGCTACACCACCGACCCCGGGCGGGAGCGCGAATACTGCCGCATCCGCCTCTGCAGTAAGTCCCCACCAACGACACCGTGCAGCTAGGACCGGGGATCTTCGGTGCCACCCTAACCCTGCCTCTTGGCCCCACTGTGGCCACGCAAGCAGAAAAACGCCCACGACCCCACAACATCACCACCGGCTGCTTCAGGGGCAAGGGCGAAGGCTACCGGGGACGGGTGAACGTCACTGTGTCGGGGATCCCCTGCCAGCGCTGGGATGCCCAGAGCCCCCACCAGCACCACTTTGTGCCCGAGAAGTACCCGTGCAAGTAAAGGGGTTGGGGGGATGCACCAAGGGAGCGTGGCAGTGGGCAGCACCCATGGGTGCTGGTTGGGAGGGAGGGGCACCCACACGGCCACTCTGCCAGGGACCTGCAAGAGAATTACTGTCGCAACCCCGACGGCTCGGAGGCCCCGTGGTGCTTCACCGCCCGCCCCACCGTCCGTGTTGCATTCTGCTTCCACATCCGCCGCTGCCCTGATGAGCTGAGTGCCCAAGGTGAGCTGCCCCCGGGCACCCGCCCCCGGGGTGCCTGCCGGGGATGCCAGCCCTCCCTACCTGTTCCCAGAGTGCTACCACGGCCACGGCGAGCACTACCGTGGCCACGTCAGCAAGACGCGCAAGGGCATCACCTGCCAGCCCTGGGCTGCCCAGGCCCCCCACGTGCCGCAGTGAGTGTGCGAAGGAGCTGTGTGTGGGCACGGGGATGGGGACCAAGATGGGGATGAAGTTGGGGATGAAGTTGGGGATGGAGATGAAGGTAGGGATGAGGTTAGAGCTGGGTTGGAGATGATGACAGGGTTGGGATGGAGAGGAAGCTGGAGATGTGGTTGGGGACAGATATGCTGGTGAGGATGGGGATGGAGGTGGAGATGAGGATGGGGACAGGATGGGGTTGGGAAGGAGATGGAAGTGGGTATGAGGGCAGAGGTGGGGCTGAAGATGGTGACTTCCTTCCGGCAGGATCTCGCCCATCACCCACCCCGAGGCAGACCTGGAGAAGAACTACTGCCGCAACCCCGATAACGACAGCCACGGCCCCTGGTGCTACACCATGGACCCCCGCACCCCCTTTGACTACTG